CAATGCCAACGGGCATGGCATTGGGTTAATGGCATGCCCCCTGTGAGTTTACTTTACTAATTGTTTTTACACATAGATGGTTACACTTGTACTAAGTCACCAATGAGCCAATTACGAGTACTGCCTGTCTCACCTGTTTACCCTTTTCTTTGATTTATGAAAATATTTTACATTATCTTATTTTGCTGTTGCTAATGTTTATAACACAACAGTAATTATAATGTCTATAATAAAAATAACACTATCGATATTCATAGTAAAACATGTTTTTCCTACCAATTCAAGGAAAGGTGAAATTAGGTAAGGTCACAAGGTCTACTAATTGATTCCTTTGTGGCTAAGCACTAGCAGAGCCATCTATGTGCAGACATTTCACAAAAAAATAAAAAATGAGTACAGCTTTTTCTTGGTGGTATGTGGTCAATTAACAACAGCTTCACTCACAAAAGCAGATTTCTCCACAGGTACTAAGTCACCAATGAGCCAATTATGAGTATTATCTGTCTCACCTGTTTACCCTTTTCCTTGATTTTTAAAAATAATTTCTGGTATCTATATATTGCCAACAGCACTATAGTTATCATAAAGTCCATAATAAAAATAACAGCATTGATACTGATAGCATTACTGAAAAAAAAAGTGGTTTACCCACAAACTCAAGGAAAGAAGAAATCAGGTGAAGTCACAAGGTCTACTAATTGACTCCTTGGTGGCTAAGCACTTGCAGAGCCATCTATGTGCAGAGACATTTCACAAAGCAATACTACTTTGAACACAACATTTTCCTGGGGTCTTTGGGATAAATGATGACTTGTTCTGGACATATCTTAGATTTTTACTCTCATGCAGGGAGTAAGACCGGATTTGATACCCCCAAATTAGAATAATATTATACTATCCATTTAACTAATACCACATTGCTAATAATACTGTAAGTAAATCTTTACTGCTATAACAACAACAATGAAAATAATCATCACAGTAAAAATTACAAAATAATTACAAAAAAGTAACAGTAATAATAATGATAAAAGTAAGAGTAATAATACTAATCATAATGATGACAGTAATAATAATAATAATAATAATAATAATAATAATAATAATAATAATAACAATAATAAATAAATAAATAATTATAATGATGATAGCAATAATAATCATCAGTACCATAATATAGAAATGATAATAATAAAAAAGACTGACTGCAATTACTAACCTTTAACCAGTACCAGGTCGCCACCAAGTGAACACCCCACCTGTGCAGCCCTTGAACAAACTCCTCCATAATACTGGCATTATTAGTGCACCAGATGACCACCAAGGCCTTTGGACTCAGGATCTTACTCACAGGTAGAGCAAGAATGTCACTGACTGGCATCATATCATACCTGTTGAAAAGAAGGAAGTAAAGCTGAAACAAAGAAAGAGAATGAACACTAAATGTATTTTCCAAAAAGATGCTCAGGATCATTTACAATCATATTTTGTTTTAATATCCACAATACAATATACAAATTAAAGACCATCTTATATATGTATATGGGATATTGCAATGTGCTTGCATGGACTTGATTTTAGTGTTTCATGAGCTATGATGCACTTTCCAAGTTTTTTTTTTTTTTTTTTTAATAAAACCAAACAGACAGATACACAACAACACTCATGGTACACAACATTGGATTCTGAATACCATAGACAAACATCTAGATTGGATGTAACCTGAGCAGATATTATGCATTTCATGACTAAAGAAACAAAAAAGAATAAAAGGAAGAAAAAGAAAAAAGAAAGAAAGAAAAAAAATAACTAAATATACATACCCATGATGATTTCCATGAGCTAGGCAACGTCTCTTTACATATTTATTTTGCCATGGCGGGTCCATCACAATGATGTCAAATTGATTTCCTGACACATGTGACAGTAGATTCCGAACATCATCGCAAATATACCGGACATTTGGCGGAAGTAGGAACTTGTTGTTTTCTATTTCCTGGACTCCGATGTTTAAATTCTTGTGCGATTTGTCAAGGACTGGGAGCATGATGTTTGAGATTTCTGTAAATCTGGGGGATAGCATATATGTTGTAATGGCAGATGGGGAAAAAAGAAAAGAAAAAGAAATAAAAGGGGACAATACGATCAGAAAAATGTAATAATGATAGATGAAAATAAAGAAGCAAAAAAATAAAAGAAAAGAAAAACGGCAAACACTCCCAAAGATACACTGAGTCACATAAATGGTTATATTTCTATCAATCCTGCCATTTCATAAAATCTACAACAATAACAATCTATAACATAATTTACCTCACACTAACCATAAAAGAGCTTCTGAAACATAGCTTTAACCCATTCGCCACATTTGGCAAGAATAGATGCCATGCCCACTTTGATACACGTTTATTTATTGTATTTACACATAGATGGCTCTACAAGTTCTTAATCACCAAATAGCCAGTTTATCAGAACTACCTATTTCACCTGTTTACCCTTTTCCTTCACTTTAGGAAAGAGTTCTTTGCATCATATCATTGTCTAAAATATTCTAATGACAATTTAATAATCATGACATCAGCAACAGTAATAACAGTATCGATAGCAATAGTATCAATTTTCGCGCCAATTCAATAAATGGGAAAATCAGGGTCGGTAACTAGGGCCTACTGATAGACTCCTTGCCGGCTGAGCACATGTGGAGCCATCTGTAGGTAACAAAATTTACCAAAAACTACAGAGGACAGAACATAAATCCGTGGCGAATGGGTTAATAACCAAGCACTTTTATAACATCTATATAATCCATTCCCATATATCATTATCCGAAAAACATTTCCTCCCCTGGAACCCCATACCTTTTTTCTCTTTACCTTTTCCTCATTTCACGTATCAAACTGTTGTTTCTCCTGAAGTCGTCACTGCTCGGGACATAGCAAAAAGCCTCCTTATATTCAGGCCTTAAGCGAAGGGCTGCAAACACTTCTTGGATGTGTTTTTCCTCATGGTTATCTTGAGGAGGCATCATATTGTGCTCTGTTCATCAATTATCCAGAATTTGAAAACAAACAATTAGATATGTATGTTTATTTAACTTATTAGATATGTATGTTTATTTAACTTATTAGATATATGTTTTCCTATCTTAAAAATATAACAATAATATAAAGCAAGAGTTATTCATTCACCTCTAAAATTGAACACTTTGCTTAACACTGCAGCACAATGCACTCAGTAAAAGATCTTAAATTTATTTGGCAATTGCAAAAAAGGATCTGGAGTGCTAAAGACTGGGCAAAAAATGAAGACAAAAACCATAACAAAGTTGTATCTAAAAAGTATCCACAATGAAGCTAATTGATTTTACTTATTTCTACATGAAGCAGAAAAAGAAAAAAATACAAAGCAAGAAAGAAGGAAATAGAAGAAAGAATAAGAAACAAAAGAAAAAATAAATAAATATGACCAATGATAGGATGTAGTTTACCTCTTTTTCTTTTTCTTGACTTAATTTCCTTTCCTTCTAACTGAGTAGCAATTTTCTCAGCTTGCCCATCCTGTTGGAAGTTTTGAAAATATTAAAAGTCTCACAATTTTAACATTCCCATAAGTTGAAATTAAGTGTCCTTTTCCTTCTTTCTTGTTTAAGGGTGGTGATTAGACTATATACTCTGGAATCATAATCAATTAGACAGAAACTGACTGTATACTGAAAGCACCATCCTAGCCCTTGGGACTTTGTGACATAGAACCCAATAATTGATACATACACTATACACATACACATACAGGGCATGTAACACCACCCTGATGCAGCTGGAGATGGTATGTATGGACATGACATGCCCACAGTTTAGTTTATTAATAGTATTTATATATGGATGCTCTAAAATGCTTAGTCACTAATGATTCAGTCATTAGTCCTTTTCCTTGACTTTCTAAAGTATTTTATTTGATCTTATATTGCAGTTAGTATTGCTAATAACATAGTAACAATTATAATGCGAATAATAATAATAAGAGAATTTATATTTTTGGCATTTGGGGAGAAGTAAATTCCAAAAACTCAAGAAGGGGGAAATCAGCTGAGGTCTTGTAGATTACTAATTGACTCCTTGGTGGAAGAGCAGTTTATATGTATATACATTTCACAAAACAATACTACAGTGAACATCACATTTTCCTGGCAGCATTAAGTTAATATGACTCCTACTGTTGAATGGACATTTCCAGTGTTGTTGTTGTTGTTTTTTGTGATCATCATTATGAATCATTGGCATAGATCTTGTGTCTTATATTCCAAGTATATGAATATGCTCTTCTACCCTATAATGGGATACATAATAAATCCTCTCATGACCTTACCTACTGTCTAAACAAAGATTTTTTTTATCATCGGTTAAAAAAAGTAAGGAAGGATGGAAGGACCTGAGCCCTTAAGGACTAGTAAAGACAACTGTGGTCCTGGCTACATAGAGGAGCCATGGATGCACATGTCAGGCCAGGACTATTTTGAAAATGTCTTTTTTGGAAGTTAGAACTCTATTAATTTGTTTAGCACTTTGCAGGGTATGGAATATGGATACTGGAGATATTTACCACCTAAAACATCACATTCCCATAGATCATATTTTGTCTACAAAATGCACACAACTTGAACTGGATTACAAGTGTGTTACCTGTGAATTTTCTTTATCTCTTATCAATATTCTTTATTCTTAGTTGTCAGTGGGAAATAAAAACCTATGTTAGGGAATTAGGCCAATGAATACATTAAAAAAAAATGTATGATATCAATTTGGTGATCACAAAAGTACCTAAACATAAGTTTGAAAGCAAACTGATACTGGAATGACACACATGAACAGAAGACAAAACACATGATGTTCCTTCACAGTACTGAAGTACAAATTACCAAATTTCATCTTCAACAGGGAAAAACTAATTGCTGTAAATCAACACACTGGGAACTTTGCTTCTGCATGCTGAAAAACTCATCAAAATTGCCACACAATGCACACTGGTAGACATACACATACAATAACTGATAAAAATAGAGTGAGTTTCCATTAAAAAAAAAGGAATCTTACCATAAGAAATGGAGTTCGAAGGTCAAACAACGTCTGAAACTTCTTTTTTTTATTTGCTGAATGGTCACCTTCCCCTCTCAAGGAATAGAGGTGCAGCATCCACATCTCATGGTCTAATATCACACTCTCAGCTCCAGCATATATAATTGACATTTTAGCGAGGTTTGAATTCCCTGAATTAAAAGATGAAATTAAGACAAATATGAAATTTTTTGTTGATAACAAATAAAAACAAAGATTAATGCAATGATAAAACTATTTCCATATACATAAAGACATGGATAATGGGTAAATACAATTACAAACCTGTAAATTACCAGAGTGACACAATATATATGGAGTCCTAAAAGTACATTAGACAGTAAAGTTCAACAGGTGCCAGCATAATGTTATGTGCACTACTCTGTCTTGGACCCAGCTATCTGTCAATACACACTTGCCACTCAGCCTCTTTCCAACTTTGCAATCTGGTAAATATAAAGTAGGAGAAAGAGAGTGTGAGAGGAAATCAACTAGGCTATATATTCAAAATATATTTATCTCTTTTATTAGCATATTATAATCAATACAGATTCTTACAAAATAAAATGTTACGATTATTTCTCTTCCTTGTGCTTTCTATTCCACTAGGGTTTTCTTGGTTTATAATCTACTTTCTTATTTTCGAAATGGAAGTATTTATCACCTCCTGTTTCTTAATATATTGGATTAGTCAGTGAATTGATGTAATCTATGAATACTCTACTTAGTTTCATTGGATAATTCGGCCATCCTTCATTTGAAAATTACATTTATTTTCTGTAGCATCTCAGGGAAAACCTGGCAATTGTCATCGTATAGGATTATTGGAAGGCGTTCACTTCCTAGTTATTGAAATATCCACGTGACTTATTGAAGGGTTAGATCTTGTTTTTTGGGTCTTGTTATTTGTTAAGGTGGTATTAATAAGTGAGTATTGTTGTGGATTATTCATCCAAAAGTGATTTTGCCCTGATATATTAGTTCTTCTATTATATAGACATGGGTTCTAGTTAGGATGATGTGATGTGATGATCTATTATCAATTTTGATTCCTGCATGTGATCCATACAATACTGCATTTACTCTTTATATATGTTATTGCATGGGTTGTATATCTTCTTCTCGTGCCCTGCCACATAAAGGCATCAAACTTTTTTTTTTCACTATAATCAATTTTTATCTTTGAGGTTTATAAAGCTAGAATTTATGCACTAGATTCTGTAAGTCTCATGTTGATATGTCTCTTAAAAATCAAACATTAAAACTGAAAATAGTTACAGTTGCTACTGGAAATGGAGAAGAAAAGAGTAGAATGACAGGGAGAGGGAGAGGGAGAGGGAGCAATAAAACAAGTATCTATCTATCAAATTATCAAAGTGGATTCAAGCTTTCAAGAACTAAATAAAATGAAAACATGGTTACCTATCTATATATGAAAAAGATAAATAAACCACATGAAAGTGTGAACCGTAATATCGCTGGAGGTGTACAAGGCATGTGGTGTGGTTTCATAATTATTTTCATCATTTAGAAGAGAGAAAGCCATATACTGAATAAATTCTTATTTCAAGCCTAATATGTTCATTCACTGAGACTTAACCTCCAATAAAAGGCATTCATAAGATTGGTTCAGAGATCAGGGCAGTGGTGTCCAAACTGTCTTCCATGATGTCCCTTTTAAGCTTAAAGGTATATATACAATCCTGCCAAATATGATATTTGTTAACGAGAGCAATGCACCCTCCAGGCTATCAAGTCATTCCAAAATCCAAAACTAAATTTTCCTACCTTCCATTTATTCCCTAGGCTGTACCCCCTTTACTAGCACTTCATATCTTTTTAAAGAAAACATGACATGAAGAACTCAGCTGTGTGAAGGTGTGGTACACTTGGTCTCTGAGCGGTAATATACAGTGGATATTTTCATCATTTCGCGGTAAATACAAGGCACCTACAGCTGTACCTGTGCTGTTTATTATTTACTGTTTATTATTTTTATGGTCTATACGATGTCAGTGTTTATTTCCCTCTAGCTCTGTACATATGTCATAAATGAATAGACATACGACTGTACCCATGTGACATTTCGATAATCGGGTTGACTGGGAATATGGATGTTGGTCTTAGTGGGCTGTTAACGTTTGAAGTTACTAAGTCTCCTGACAGTTATCTAAGTATTACGCTTTGGTTTGAGCTTACATATATGTTGGCTTCAATGTTGTTATTCATTACCGGCTGAAACTCCTCGGACTGTTCGTTTCAGTGCTGACTAGGTTTATTTCAGTGACATTTTCGTTCTTTAACGCTTTGTTATTTGGGGTTTCAATGGTCCAATTGTTTGAGTGTACCATGACTCTCTCCTGGATGAGGGATTATCATATCTTCCGTGTATTTACCATTCGCAACATAATTTTGCGTTCGCCGGGTAGACGTCTCCCTTATGAAGTTCAAACAACTCCGGAACCTCGAGACTGAAGGTTTGTTGTGGTCGCTTAGTTTACCAAAACGAGACGGGAAACCGGCATCTGACGCTCACATCGGTTTTTCTAACATGATTTTCGTTAAACTGCCATTATCTTTTATAATTGCTGTTTGTGCTTTTATTATTATTATTCTCTTGTTTTTTCATCATTGTTATTAATTTCCTGTTATTATTATTACTAATACTATAAGTATTATTATTGGTGTTCTTATTAGTAGTGGTGTTTGTTATTATTATTATCATTATTATTATTATTATTATTATTATTATTATTATTATTATTATTACTATTATTGTCATCATCATTACTGCTATGATTATCGATATAATTATTATTTCTTTATACACAGGCACAATAGTGTGACACTCAAAGGAGAGTGGGACATGACCCATGACCAAAGTTCCATTTGTAGACCTTAGGTGTCAAGTACTCTTCTCAACATCATTGATATTCCCAATAATATTGTCTTTTGTAGTAACGGTTCTTATTGTGACTCCCAATTTCTCCAAGCACTTTTCGATATTCTTTGTCACACATCCCAGCACCAACGACTTTGACTTTCCGTACTCTCCACATGCTAACAATTTTTCTTTTAACATCTTGGTCCTTCCCAACTTTCTTCTGTTTCATTTACCCTGTTATTCCCTGGGGCAGTGACATGAATTTATCTGTTTAGCTCTTGTAACCGATGATTAATCCGGAAGGGCAACAGGATATCCTGTAGCGTCTTGTAAATAAAGGGAGAATTTTTAAAAGATCTAATTTACGTTTGTTTGTTGTGTCTACACCTCCAGTTCGACCCTTTAATGTTCTTCCTAAATATTTTGTTCTTTGTACATTTTCTGTTCTTTCAGTTTGCTTATTTTATTTCGATGAGTTTCAAGTCTAATTATTCGAAGAGAGGTCGCAATCGACTCAATCAATGGTGAAGGGCAGTCCAAGATAGGACTCTCAGGTGGTATGCAGCGGCGTTAATGTTGCAATTGTAATGATGTTTGTGATTTTGTAGAAAGGCTATCTGCTACCAGGAGCGAGAATGTCCGACGCCAGTCATGCATCACAGGCTCCATATTTAACTCCCGACTTAATCTCGTATGTCTACCCTACGTATGCTTTGGGTCTTCACCCACCTGTACTTGCCAACATCCTCTAAGTTTTGAGTGGCCGAGATGAAATCCCAGTGTTCTACGGTGAGACGCCTGCCTCGCAAACTCTGCAGAAAATACGGGAGGTGGAAGATTTACCATAAAGATGCTCATGATGCCAGCCGCCGATGAAGTATTGGTATGAATGGCAAAGGGGAGAACACGAGGGACAAAGTTGAGGGCCAAATTCAGGGGTGTTAATACACCCGAACATTTCTTTGCAAAGTGATCACTTGGTGGCTCCTGTGCCCCTTTCAATCGCGCCGCTCGGGACAGCCGAATAAGTGTGACAAGAAATTCCAACTCATTTCCCCTGTGTATGTTGCTTAGCTGACTGTAGTCCTAGCCCAGTCGGGATGCTTTATCCCAGCAAATTTGACTCAAGGCGAACCACCTGACGCTCATCTCGCTATTATAGAAGGCAACGCTGCCTGCTTGACTGTCCCGAGGGCCATCAGCACTGTCCACGAACGGTGAACTAGTATTTGGTTCGTGAATACGGACCTGAGAGCAAGAAAGGTTTCCACAGGTACGATTATGGGTTATGCAGAAATTGTGCAACTCGAAGAAACCATGTCAATAGATGAGCGCGACACAAAATAGATATTGATAGTAATAACAACAACAATACGAATAAAAATGGTATGTATAACGATGATGTTAATAAATGATAACAATAAAAATAAGAGAGATAACCCACATTTTGCAAAACATCTCAAACAAAATCTTTTTCCCGGAATAATTGGTACTGCGCGAAGCCAGACAGAGAGATTGATAGAGACAGAGAGAAGAAAATTGTGATGAAGAAGAAGGGATAGGTGGTGATGAAGAAGACGAAAAAGAAGAATGAGTTAGTAAAGAAGAACAAAAGAAAAATATATAAAAAAGGAGAACATGCTAAACAGATCGTGTGTTTTCTTGCTCTTCCGTTGTTTTATTCATAAGAGGGAACACAAATATAGAAAAGAAAGAAAGAAAAGAGATAAAGAAATAGAAAAAAGAAATACTCATTCAAAACAAAACTCAAGGACGATCTTATAAAACTGAAGACAATAGTGAGAGACAAAGAGAGAGTGAGAGATGCACTTACACCTGTATACACACACACACATACACACACACAAACATATATATATATATATATATATATATATATATATATATATATATATATATATATAGATAGATAGATAGATAGATAGATATATAGATAGATAGATAGATAGATAGATAGATGGATAGTTAAATAAATAAATAGATAGATAGATAGATACTAATGTATATACATGATTACATACATGTAGGTATTAAAGTAGAATTAAAGTAAACATTAGTATTTACCTGTTGCTTGTTTATTTATTTGTGTGTGTATGTGTGCATGCCTCCTAATCATTGTTACATTCGGTATTATTTAAATAGATCTACATCTTTTAAAGGAATTATTTGTTTGATATTGATGGATTCTGCCACAGAGAGAGAGAGAGAGAGAGAGAGAGAGAGAGAGAGAGAGAGAGAGAGAGAGAGAGAGAGAGAGAGAGAGAGAGAGAGAGAGAATTATAATATCAACAATGATTAATAATGATGATAATGATAATGATAATAATAATAATATTGATAATGATATTGATAACAATGATAATGATAATAATAATAACAATAACAACAACAACAACAATAATAATATTAATATCAATAATAACAATTATAACAACGTATACAACTATAATAACAATACCCATGATAACAGCATCAACATCATCAATAGCAGCAGCAGCAACAACAACAACACAACAATTACAACAACAATAATAATAATAATGATAATAATAATAGTGATAATAATAGTAATGATGATGATAATAATACTAATACTAATACTAAAAATACTACTACTAAAATAATAATAATAATATGATGATGATAACGATTAGAAAGCCAGAACGAATGATAATGATGGTGACGATGATGATCACACCCCCTTTACAAAGACTATTGCATGCAGTCTGCGCATGGCACACGCATTATGGAGACCTTAATGCGACCTAGAAAATTATCTGTAGAATGTCAAGTAAGTATACCAAAGCGAAAGAGAGATTATGAGCTTGAAAGATGCATTGATAGAGGAAAGGGTAATGATAATAGGAAAAGGTAACGCGTTGCAATCTGTCTTGCATTTGAGCCGGTGGGAGGAGTTTGCCGACTGGTGGGCTGGGCTTAGCGAACCGCTGACTGACTCTGGATTCGATTTTTCTTTTCTAATAAACATTAATTATGACTCTCCACCATATGTACACACACACACACACACACACACACACACACACACACACACACACACACACACACAACATATATATATTTATTTATTTACATATACTTATATTATTTACATTTGCATATATTGGGTAAGCCAAACCTAGAGAGAGAGAGAGAGAGAGAGAGAGAGAGAGAGAGAGGGTGAGGTAGAGGAAGAGAGAGAGAGGGTGAGGTAGAGGAAGAGAGAGAGAGAGAGAGAGAGAGAGAGAGAGAGAGAGAGAGAGAGAGAGAGAGAGAGAGAGAGAGAGAGAGAGAGAGAGAGAGAGAGAGAGGGAGAGGAGAGGATAGAGACAGACAGATAAAGGCAGCGAAAGAGAGATAATAGGAAAAGTGAGGATGAGAAAGAGGAGAAATAGCTGGGATATGAGAGAAAGAGTAGTAAGAAGTAGGCCAGCAGGAGAAGTCCAGAAAAATTAACTTCGTTCAACATACATTACAGAAAAGGTTTAACTAGATGGGGTGGTAGGATATACCTTTTAAAACATCCCTAGGTAGTATGTTGTCTCAAATTGTGCTGTCACTTACAAACTATAGAACAAAAGAGGGCAAATTAATTGTCGCAGAGTCACTGCACTTTCTTTGCAAGGACATGAGTTATTTTGAGAAAAAAATACGATATCAGAATATCCGCATTGAGGCTGTCTACCAACGGTGAAGATATTGCATTAAAGCAAGAACCATAGTAAATAAGACAAAGAAAAAAAAACTTGTTTATAGGATAATTTACTAATGCCTCATTCCTGGCACACTGAAAGTAAGATGTTTCTTGGTACACCAAAATCTGTCCCTACTATCCTATTACTGACTGTAACAAAATGAACTAGATACATGCTCAATTATTATCACAGGAGGCAAATGAATGTCCCACAACAATTTTGGGGCCGCTCCCTCTTGAGTCAGAAGTACCTGCTTAACAATATCAATGCATAATGAATACTGATGCAAAGATGAATCTAAGCATGAATATTGCAGGTTAACCATATATTCAGGAAAGGGTTGAAAATCTGATATAACGTTTTTTCACGATGAAAACCAATATGGCTTTCTTCATCCATATTTGTAAAATGCTACGGTACATATTACTGATAATTTCTCATCTCATTTTCCTCTCTTCCTCTCCCCTCGCTTTTTTAAGTGTCAGGTATCGCAGGTACGAGTCTGTAGATAGTGTAACAGTGTGACATCCTGATCGCCACGGTAAATGCAGCATGTCAGTGGTATCAATAAACTGATATGCATAAAGTAGCCTAGTCTGATTTTGTGAAGAATGACTTCGGCACCTCTATTAATTGTTGCAGAGAGTGCCAATGGATCATAACCTGCCTGGCCGAGGTTCTCCCTTCATCTCTTTGTAATTGCAGGACATTAACCTGTTCTGTGCATACGACTCTATGCCTTAAGAGTTTTCGGCTTGAAGGAATGACCATGGGATTTGGGGGTATACC